ACGTGGACAATTACCAGGATGCTGGAAGTATCAAGAAATAACATGGGAACGTCTCCAAGATATCTTTTAGGGTGATCTTTCTGTCTGCTGGTCAAGGGAATCCTGTTAGGAAAGTCGGTATCGTAGGGAAGACACCAAACATATGGGAGTCCAAAATGAGAGCTCAGTTTGGAAATATCTCTCCACTTCAGACTGGGAGTGGCCCAGTCTTTTATAAAAGGTCTCCCAAAGGCTATTAACAAATAACTCACTTTTAGAATGTTTATCCATCAGTCTCCAGGCACTTTTCAAAGCAGGGATTTATGTTTATCCCGTTAGTAATGAGAGGAAAATGATAATTAAATATTTACAAGGACTATTTTGCACGCATCAATTAATAATACCACAAGACTCTCGAAGTTTGGACTTGTAGTAATATCTGGATCTTTTTAATTTAACATTAAAAAGAAGTAAACACACCTCTTTCTTTTTTTTTTTCTTTTTTTTTTTTTTCCTAAATATACCTGGCATAGCAGGAAAATAAAAATCATCATCATTGTCATATAAGTCATATTTTTAATAATAGTAAAAAAAAGATCAGCATCTTATATATAGATAAGAGTATTTTTAGCCCTTAGAAATCCTTTTAGGAGTCATGTGATTTCAGGATTTTGTGTTGCATTTTATCATAATTTCTAGCCTTCGTAAATCCAGAGAAATGAAAATGTGATGGAGTTTACAGTACCAGAAAGAGAGAAAAAGGAACTTAAAATGTATCATCACTGGTTATAATATCTCATGATTTCTACACTGCTTGTGTCACCTTCTGGGTCTTGATCTGGGGAACTGACTACAGTGAGACAAACAAATATATTTATGATCTTACATGCAGAAGAAACCAGTTTATTTAAAATGTTGGCAATATCTGCAGTCATTAATTTCCAGTAGATGTAAATAGTAAGTTTAACAAAGGATTGAATAGAAAAGAAATCTTCCAGACTGCTCTCTTTGAACCTTTTGACTCCTGAGCAAAAGGAATAGTACTGTGTTGTTCATGTGATAGCTCAATACAGCCTGAAGAGTAAAGTGGGAATACTGTAGTGAAAACTCACAGAGATTGTCTCAGAAATTATCTGTAGGGCTAAAAACAAGGACGGAAAACTTTAATGTTCTCAAATGCTGAACAAAACTGTAGAAAATACCAGAATGGGACAAAATCTGATAGTAAGGTACATAAGCGTAGGTGCCGACTTGTAGGTGTATACATCAACAGTGCTAAACTCCCATCACCATCAAACGGGACTTAAAGTAGTTTCCTACGTATAGAGTCTACAGTGATTTGAGATGTCCTATGACATCTGAAACATCTGCACAGATTTGCTAGATATGACATAGTACTTAAGTCCACCATGCTTTAGGTATTTTACCACCGGGCAGGTTACCTTTGTGTGTCTCACATGGCATTAGAAGACAACATTTAGGCAACTGGATTAAGCCCTGGTGCTTTATTGAATACCATCAGAGAAGTCTGGAAAATAAACTAGCCCATGAAATGGACGTGTCTCCTTTTCGGTGATCTGCACCATTCTTCTGGCTACACTGAGGGCTCCATCAAGCTGAATAAAAATGTGTGTTCAGTGCTATTTGAGATGCCCTATGGTAACAAGACATCTGCATCAGGTGAACAGGTAATGCAGAAGGCTTACAGGAGAACAGCATCCTTTTAAAGCAACAGTGGACTGATGGCATACCTAAAAGCATCTAAAAAGGCGCTGCATGCTACTGTTTACTCAGCTGTTCCTGGTCCTAGATCTTCATTGACTACATGGGAAGCTGAGACATCCAGCTTGTACTGAAACACCTAGATATGAGTATTTCATCCTGAGCAGAATCTTAAACTTCTGGTCTGAAAACCCACATTCATAGGAAAAAGATTTTGTGCAGTGAGTTAAAGGTCTATCTCCTTTACAGTTTAGGCTCTTATGTACCACTAATCATCAAATACAGCAGGGTTTTTTTTTGTTTTTTTTTTTTTTTTTTTTTGAGATAACATTGATTTTCTTATAAAAAAGCTAACCCTTTTTTAGTGAAATAGTGCTGCAGAGTCTCATGACAAGTCTACTTTCAGTTCCTGATGAATATATTCTTCTCCACAGATAAGGATATATATAGCCTATTAATTTTCCCATGTAGCTTGTTAAGAGAAACCATTTTATGGAAAATTTCTGACCAGCCCTCCTTGCCATGCTCCTGTGAGGGTGTATTTTTTAGCCTCACTTTATGTAATGAGTATAAAAAGGCCAAGAGATCTTATCTTTATCTTACATTTTTATCAGTAATTCCCCCTGCTCTAATTTTGGTGGACTTTATTTCTCTGCAAGTTAAAGTCTTTGAAAAATCTAAGAAAGTTGGATAATTTCCTTTTGCTGATGAAAGTCAGTTTCAAGTTGAAGAGAAAAATCTAATTTTACATTTAAATCAGACATGACAGACAGAAGATTAATGGCAAAGCATTCAAATATGTTTCCTGAAAGTCAAATTTAGTTGCCTGATTTTTCACCGCTGAAATTGGTTCATTTTTGGTATGCTCCACACCTATGAAACTAGTTGCTTTCACTATAATACTTTCATTTGAGTTTAAAAACCTAAAATTAAGCATGGTGGTTTCATAATGGAGTCTTCTGGATATTCTCAGCTTTGTAGTGCATCTCATCGCAACTCCTATAAGCTAACTTTTTATTGTTCTAAAAGGCAAGGCTAAAATTTCTGATTTCGGTACTGTGCACAGAGAGCTGCAGAAAGAAGGCATTGAATATCAGGCCAACATATTATAAATCCTTATGCTTAAGGACATCCAGACCTGCCTGCAATTCTGCCCAGCACTATGATGCAATTATGTCTGCTCATGTTTTAATGATGGCCTTACTTAAAAGTGAAAAGATCCAAGTGTGCCTGAAGGCTTGGACTCTCATTTGGCAGCTACCTCAAGGACTCCTCCATACCCCAGGCTGGTGAAACTCCGACATGCGGCACAAGAAACAGATTCCCTCTCAGTGGGGGGGGAAGAGGCCATCTGCGCTGAATGTTTACACCCTCATTTAAAATAAATAAATACTTTAAAACAATAATACTGAAGAAAAAGCTATCTTGAACTTATCGGTTGGATTTTCTCAGAACTTTGAACCTGAAAACTACTTTGTGATTATCCAAATTAAACAACACATGGCAGGTGACAAA